CTGCCAGAGCCCTGCAGGTGCTGCCTCCACCTGCAGATTCTGCAGACAGCTGAGGATCAAACCTCCACTTAAAGCCGCTACGACAGCCTGCAGCTTCACCTCCACCCCAGACTGTAACAGTTGTTTCTGCCAGAGCCCTGCAGGTGCTGCCTCCACCTGCAGATTCTGGCAGACAGCTGAGGATCAAACCTCCACTTACAGCCGCTACACAGCCTGCAGCTTCCACCTCACCCCCAGACTGTAACAGTTGTTTCTGCCAGAGCCCTGCAGGTGCTGCCTCCACCTGCAGATTCTGGCAGACAGCTGAGGATCAAACCTCCACTTACAGCCGCTACGACAGCCTGCAGCTCCACCTCCACCCCCAGACTGTAACAGTTTTTCTGCCAGAGCCCTGCAGGTGCTGCCTCCACCTGCAGATTCTGGCAGACAGCTGAGGATCAAACCTCCACTTACAGCCGCTACGACAGCCTGCAGCTTCCACCTCCACCCCCAGACTGTAACAGTTGTTTCTGCCAGAGCCCTGCAGGTGCTGCCTCCACCTGCAGATTCTGGCAGACAGCTGAGGATCAAACCTCCACTTACAGCCGCTACGTCAGCCTGCAGCTTCCACCTCCACCCCCAGACTGTAACAGTTGTTTCTGCCAGAGCCCTGCAGGTGCTGCCTCCACCTGCAGATTCTGGCAGACAGCTGAGGATCAAACCTCCACTTACAGCCGCTACACAGCCTGCAGCTTCCACCTCCACCCCCAGACTGTAACAGTTGTTTCTGCCAGAGCCCTGCAGGTGCTGCCTCCACCTGCAGATTCTGGCAGACTGAGGATCAAACCTCCACTTACAGCCGCTACGTCCCTGCAGCTTCCACCTCCACCCCCAGACTGTAACAGTTGTTTCTGCCAGAGCCCTGCAGGTGCTGCCTCCACCTGCAGATTCTGGCAGACAGCTGAGGATCAAACCTCCACTTACAGCCGCTACGACTGCCTGCAGCTTCCACCTCCACCCCCAGACTGTAACAGTTGTTTCTGCCAGAGCCCTGCAGGTGCTGCCTCCACCTGCAGATTCTAGCAGACAGCTGAGGATCAAACCTCCACTTACAGCCGCTACGTCAGCCTGCAGCTTCCACCTCCACCCCCAGACTGTAACATTGTTTCTGCCAGAGCCCTGCAGGTGCTGCCTCCACCTGCAGATTCTGACAGACAGCTGAGGATCAAACCTCCCTTACAGCCGCTACGTCAGCCTGCAGCTTCCACCTCCACCCCCAGACTGTAACAGTTGTTTCTGCCAGAGCCCTGCAGGTGCTGCCTCCACCTGCAGATTCTGACAGACAGCTGAGGATCAAACCTCCACTTACAGCCGCTATACAGCCTGCAGCTTCCACCTCCACCCCAGACTGTAACAGTTGTTTCTGCCAGAGCCCTGCAGGTCTGCCTCCACCTGCAGATTCTGGCAGACAGCTGAGGATCAAACCTCCACTTACAGCCGCTACAACCCTGCAGCTTCCACCTCCACCCCCAGACTGTAACAGTTGTTTCTGCCAGAGCCCTGCAGTGCTGCCTCCACCTGCAGATTCTGACAGACAGCTGAGGATCAAACCTCCACTTACAGCCGCTACGTCAGCCTGCAGCTTCCACCTCCACCCCCAGACTGTAACAGTTGTTTCTGCCAGAGCCCTGCAGGTGCTGCCTCCACCTGCAGATTCTGGCAGACAGCTGAGGATCAAACCTCCACTTACAGCCGCTACGTCAGCCTGCAGCTTCCACCTCCACCCCCAGACTGTAACAGTTGTTTCTGCCAGAGCCCTGCAGGTGCTGCCTCCACCTGCAGATTCTGACAGACAGCTGAGGATCAAACCTCCACTTACAGCCGCTACGTCAGCCTGCAGCTTCCACCTCCACCCCCAGACTGTAACAGTTGTTTCTGCCAGAGCCCGCAGGTGCTGCCTCCACCTGCAGATTCTAGCAGACAGCTGAGGATCAAACCTCCACTTACAGCCGCTACGTCAGCCTGCAGCTTCCACCTCCACCCCCAGACTGTAACAGTTTGTTTCTGCCAGAGCCCTGCAGGTGCTGCCTCCACCTGCAGATTCTGGCAGACAGCTGAGGATCAAACCTCCACTTACAGCCGCTACGTCAGCCTGCAGCTTCCACCTCCACCCCCAGACTTTAACAGTTGTTTCTGCCAGAGCCTTGCAGGTCTGCCTCCACCTGCAGATTCTGGCAGACAGCTGAGGATCAAACCTCCACTTACAGCCGCTACGACAGCCTGCAGCTTCCACCTCCACCCCCAGACTGTAACAGTTGTTTCTGCCAGAGCCTGCAGGTGCTGCCTCCACCTGCAGATTCTGGCAGACAGCTGAGGATCAAACCTCCACTTACAGCCGCTACGACAGCCTGCAGCTTCCACCTGCCACCTCTGGTAACCAGCTGCATTCTCAGCCACTGCCTTAAGCTTCTTCTAACCAGTTTTATCTCCAGACTTTACTTGCAGAATATAGCAAACACTTACAGCCCTGCCTACTGTCTGCTTCTGACAGTCAGATGCAGCCACATCCTCCACGGACAGCTCTTGGCGGCCACCATTTGCCTCTTCTTGCAGACTTTGCATCTCCATACCAACTTCAGGACGAGTTTTCTCAGTATGTAACCCTGTTGTTTTCAATTTCCGGTAATCTGGTTGCTTTGGGTAACCCCATGCCAGTATACTGCAGCAATGTTTCTCAATCCTCATTCTGACACCACTTGTCGATTCTGCCAGACATCTACAACCAGAATCTCCACCTACAGACTCTTCCGGCTCCTGCCTGCAGCTTCCACCTCCACCCCCAGACTGTAACAGTTGTTTCTGCCAGAGCCCTGCAGGTCCTGCCTCCACCTGCAGATTCTGTCAGACAGCTGAGGATCAAACCTCCACTTACAGCCGCTACGACAGCCTGCAGCTTCCACCTGCCACCTCTGGTAACCAGCTGCATTCTCAGCCACTGCCTTAAGCTTCTTCTAACCAGTTTTATCTCCAGACTTTACTTGCAGATATAGCAAACACTTACAGCCCTGCCTACTGTCTGCTTCTGACAGTCAGATGCAGCCACATCCTCCACGGACAGCTCTTGGTGGCCTCCATTTGCCTCTTCTTGCAGACTTTGCATCTCCATACCAACTTCAGGACGAGTTTTCTCAGTATGTAACCCTGTTGTTTTCAATTTCCGGTAATCTGGTTGCTTTGGGTAACCCCATGCCAGTATACTGCAGCAATGTTTCTCAATCCTCATTCTGACACCACTTGTCGATTCTGCCAGACATCTACAACCAGAATCTCCACCTACAGACTCTTCCGGCTCCTGCCTGCAGCATTCACCAGCAACCTCCAGCCACGGTCTCCACCTCCAGATTCCTGCAGACAGCTGCAGCCTGACCCTTCACCTACAGCCTCTTTCAGCAACTTGTACTGCCACCTCCACGTGCAGCCCTGCCTTCTGTCTGCTTCTGACAGTAAGATTCAGCCACATCCTCCATTCATTACGTGCATCCTTATTAATAATTATCACCCCTATTTAGCATTAACAGGAAAGAAAAAGTTATTACTCAGTTTCCTTTTAGATAAAACGCAAAAAAAAAAAAAAGTTAGTAATAATAGCATGCCTGGGCTGATCAATAAAAGCTGCATATTTTGTAAAAATGTACATCATGTCTCATTTTGTGTGCAGGAAGAGCACTCAGCCATCAGCATGAACCTACACGATATGGAAAACCACACTGGGATGCAGATCTTCATCTACCATAAAGAGCTCTTCTTCTTCCAACTAGACTTAGCACTCAAGGTAGGCATCAGTTTGATGCACAGCAGTATGAGATATTTGGTTGTGTCTTAGTGTCTAGCCATGCATTTTCAATTCAATCGGATTTTTTAATTTGCATTAGAAATGATCAAGCCATGTAAATAATCCTTCAATTGACTGCAATGGGATTTTTTGAATAGAAGTTTGATGATGTATGATTCTAATACAACACATTTTCACAGACTTCCAGATCCACCAGGAGCGGATCATCAGCTGTGCAGACAATTCCCTCTACATCATAGATGCTTCCTCCTCCCGATCCTCCATGTTCACCACCAACTCTTGCTCCTCTCCCAAGATGACAGCGCCCCTTCACGTATCCCCCTCATCTCGTCCGTACCAGAAGCTTCTTCATGCTCTGTCCTCACTCCAGAACTATACCTGAAGAGTAGCACATGCCAGCAAGCTAAACATTTAATTGTACCTTGCCTGTCACACCTAGAGGGACACTTTCTTTATACTGAAGACACTGAACTGCAGAAATCATCTCTGCATCAACAAACTTTCTGGGAGTTTCTGAATGACAGATGTCCTTCTATTCCAAAAATTTCTCCCCAAGAACATGAAAGTCTAAAGGCTGCTTAGACATATGTAGTGCCTTAAATTTCCAGCCCGCTCCCTTAAAAGGACTGCCAGTTAGCTTGCTCTGTTAGTGTGACTTGTCATTATTC